TTTCACCCACTGGAGTGACCAGCACAGGGGTGAAGGTCAAGGCTGCCTGGGAAATCCTTTGAAGAGTAGTGTTTGGAATGCTATGGAAAACATTTTTAGTTGTCGAGCCCACAAAACTACAAATGCAATCAATTCAACTGAAACTGTGAGGCAGGACACGCAGTGATGGTTAATGTCTATACCAGGGGTGCCCAAAGTGGCCCGGCGGACCATTTCAGTTGGCCCGCCTAACATTGCCCACCTCCGCTGTAAGTTTCTAACTGCGTCCCTCAACCCAAGCCCCGGCGATCCAAGATGGCGCCCTGTTCAAATGAATGGTTGTGCTCAGTGGCGCTTTGTGACGGCATGGGGGCTGAAAGATTAGCGGAAGTTGCCTGAAACTCTCAAAGATCTATGGGAAACTCGCCTGTATTTGGGCATCGTCTGGTCCTCCCGGTTCTGTGCAGTGGATGATCTCCCATAATGCGTTGCGTCAAACACGCGTGTGTGGGTCTCACACCGGGTCTCACGCACGTGCACAGAGGGTCTCACGCACGTGCACAGAGGGGCTCGGCTCTGACCAATCAGAGCAGTTCATCAGAGCGGGAGTTAGAGCGAGAGCCAGACGAGCAGAGTTTGTGGCACTAAAGTGTGGATTTAAACAAAACCGAAGGATTTAAGAAGAAAAAAAGTTCAGGATGACAAGGGACACTAACATCCCCACAAAATCTGACCTTTATGAAAGCTGTAGGTTCTCTGTCAGGTTCTCTGTCAGGTTCTCTGTCAGGTTCTCTGTCAGGTTCTCTGTCAGCTGAGGTTGAGCTGTTTTAATATGCATTGAGTTCTATGGGGAAAATTTCTGGGTGGCCCACGTGAATTTAGTCTGGTTCAGTCTGCAGTACCGCGAGAATCCCCTGAGCACGTGAGTTATTCAGCTACAAGCTAGTAATACCCTATCCAGTTAATATAATACATCCATGCCTCAACCTCACTGAACAAACAGTGACATGTTTGAGATCGCGCGGGCGCACCAACACCCTCTGAACGGAAATTGTCCAGTACTTAACTGTTGTATCGAGATACACTCCTCACTCATGGTTCACATCTACTTGCACTAAAATGTTTTTTAAAATCAAACACATCTTTCAAAACAATTGGGTGCAAGGCCCCTTTATGTTCTTTTTTTTCAGCCTACTATTATTATTTTTTTTAGCAATTTAATGTTTTATCAAATTGAGAGGATTGTGCTGCCGAACTGCCACTCCCCCTCCTCACCGGAGGGAAATGGCGAGTGGAACTATTCACCTGCGCAATCCGCACCCACCCGGTGTGTTAAAAAGGACGGACACACACACTTCAGAGTGAGTTCAAGCAGGACAAGCAGGGATCGCAGCGCACGATCCACGCAAGTAGAAGCAACAAATACCGCGCAAAACAAACCCTTCTACAGCCCCATGAAAGAAGCCGATAAGCGCCGTCCTCACTCGCGATCGTTGAATGTCAGTCAGAACTTACGCGGAGTTTTATGATGCGTTCAAGAGCCCTTTGGAGGAGCGGAAACTCGGACTCTTTAACAGTTACTTTGTTTTGATTGTTTATAAATGTTGTACTGTGTTTAGGCAAAACAAAACAAACTCTAGGAACAAATCATGGTTAACTAGTCTGATTTCGTTATTTTAATATTCAGTTCACAACTAATTGAGAATACTTGCCCTATGTAAAAATATTAAGTTAAAACAGAGTTAAAACCTGATCATGTTTAGAAAATGCAGTTAGCAATTATGTTCCTAAATTCATTACTTAATGTTAAAATGTATTGTTTAAAAGTGTGTTAAAACCAGATCTACTGATCAGTGATGTCTCCCCTTTTTGATAAAAGCTAAGATAAAGTAATATGATTCAAATGTAGTTAAAAACTTTTGTTCAAAATAAATATATGAAAATAGAATTTACTTTTTTAAAGTAAATGTCATTTGCTAGTACAATAAACCTATACATTATAAATCACTATACAAAAGTTAGAAAAAGTCTTCAACAAATAGTTTAATGCAAAACACTTCTAAGGAATAAATTTAAATTTAAAATAGAGTTAGTTACTATTTACAATATACAAGTGCACATGGTGCACACAAAATGTATGTTTCTGTTCTCTTTTAGAGGTTTTTTTAATATGATTTTAAGCTGTAAATAAGCCATGACAGAAAATCTCCCTCCTCTGGACCCTGATTACCCGGCCGGAATCTTTCCGTACTGTAGTCTCCTCAAACCTGCATATTTCCCATATTGGAGTCTCCATTTCACTAAGACTGTGTTGATTTCATTCATTCAGCTGTGATTTGCACTGCTAGACAATAATGAATGCATTTAAAAGAACTTGATCAAATCTACATTTATTTGTGTTTCATGCATAATATTGGTGTATTTGGTCCACTGGCAAATTTTTACTTTGGCCCTTGGAAGCAAAAGGTTTGGGCACCCCTGGTTTAGACCATGTGGAGCGATTTTGAGACAAATCGTTGAAACGGCGGAGACGTTGATTTCCAACCGACATGCGTGAAAAAAAAAGGGGGCGACAGTAGCTCAGTTGGTAGAGCATTGGCCTTAAGCCCAGAAGGTCGTGGGTTCATTTCCCACCTCTGCACCTTCTCCACCGACTCCCACTGATGACTGCTGTCGTTGTGTCCTTGGGCAAGACACTTAACCCCACTTTGCCCAAAGCCCCCACTGAAAGATCAAGGCTATGCTCACACTCAGAGAGCAGCCGTCCTCCTGTGGACTCACCACCTGCAGAGGGTCAGTGAGGGGCTGGTGCTATGAGACTTGGGTGGCATCTCTGACTGCCACCCCCCTGACCCAGAAATGGATTAAAGGGTAGAAAATGGATGGATGGATGGATGCGTGAAAAAGATCAATTTTCATTTTTCCATTTCCCATTGAAATTAATGAGCTCCCTGCTTGTCAGGGGGCGGAGCCATAATAACTTTGGTCTTACAGCAGTAAGACCTGAATAAAAAGTAATTATTTAGCCCTAAGACAAGTTAAAGCTGCATCTTAGCTTGGAATATTCATACCTCAGACAAATGAAGACCACAGCAGCAGAGCACACCAGCAGCACAAAATGGCTGCCCTCCAACTTACCTGCTTAAAAGGGGCAGCTAACTAGGCAAGGCAAGTTTATTTATATAGCACAATTCATACACAAAGCAATTCAAAGTGCTGAACAAAATAAGAGAGCATTAAAATCATAAATAATCACAGAACATTAAAAAGAAAGATAAAAATATAAAATCCCTCAGTTGTATGCACAGCTAAACAGAACTGTCTTTAACCTGGTTTTAAACATTGTCAGAGAGGAGGCCTGTCTCACATCTTCAGGAAGACTGTTCCAGATTTTAGCAGCATGAATCTGAAATGCAGCCTCCCCATGTTTAGTTCTGACAGACGTAAGTGCTACAGGTCTGTAGTCATTGAGTCCTGTGATCCTGGGATTTTTCGGGACGGGGACAATGATGGAGGATTTGAAGCAGGCCGGGACATGGCAGGACTGCAGAGAGGTGTTGAAAATGTCAGTGAACACAGGAGTAAGCTCACTGGCGCAGTGTCTCAGAGTGGCCGGAGACACGTGGTCCGGGCCAGGAGCTTTGCGGGGGTGCAGCCTCAAGAAGAGTTATTTGATATCTTTAGAGGCTATTGTC